AATCTTGACAATGAACTAGGTTCACGGCATATTCAATAATTTAATTTATAAATTTATAGTTGAACTGTTGTATATATATATATATATCACAGAAACTACTGTGCAAAAGAAACTTATTCTGAAGAAATTTTCAATCTAGCGTTAAATTTGAGTTTTTATTAATTGACACAAAAGTACAGAAGGCTTGCTATAATATATAGTACTAGTAGGGAAATTATCACACACATACATAATTGTGACACTGAGAAGCATGAAGATTGGTATTTAAAACAGTAAAAATAGCTGTATAATGGAGGCTCAGTGAGAATAAGATAATTAGATGAATTATTCCAGAATAATTTTCTTGGAAGGCATGATGTAGAGTCTCTGCCCGGGCTACCTTGAGGTCTACTGCTGTCTATGCACTCCATCTTCTAGGCTGGCTTCACCTATTCCAGCTCCAGGTCCTGCAGTTCCCTCTGCAGTCCCCTGTGCAGAGCTTTCCCCTCACCTTCTCCATCAGGGATGTGGTCTCTAGACAGAGCCTGAAGTATCAAGCTCCGGAACAGTGAGCTGGTGATGCACAAGCTTTAACACATTGTTCCTATACTCAGCTGTCAGCAGGTGGTCCACACCTTTTTGTAAAGAGAAAATGCTGAACATGTCTGCAGGGGCTCTCTTTTTTTATATAAATTTATTTATTTATTAAAGATTTCTGTCTCTTCTCCACCATCGCCGCCCAATTCCCTCCCCCTCCCCCAATCAAGTCCCCCTCCCTCGTCAGCCCAAAGAGCAATCAAGGTTCCCTGCCCTGTGGGAAGTCCAAGGAAGCCCCACCTCCATCCAGGTCTAGTAAGGTGAGCATCCAAACTGCCTAGGCTCCCACAAAGCCAGTACGTGCAGTAGGATCAGAAACCCATTGCCATTGTTCTTGAGTTCTCAGTAGTCCTCATTGTCCGCTATGTTCAGCGAGTCCAGTTTTATTCCAGGCTCTCTTGATATTACTCAGTGTTCCCATGGAGACAACTTCACCAAGAGGAAAAAGTTGTTACCACTTCATCGGACATCCTGGCATTGTCAGAGCTTTCTGGGATGCGTCCTCGGTGTGGAGAGGTCACCGGTCCTGTGTTCTCCTGTCATCCATGCGCTGAGCTATCTTGATGGACTATTCAGGGGATGGCTGTGGCATTGGCACTTGAAGTAAACAGAAGACATCATGGAGATCTTCACTGTGATCTTGAATCTAAAGTCTCCATATTTCTGGCTTCCCAGCCTGCTTATCATCGACAGCTTTTCCTCCTTAGTATAGTGATTCTTTTAGAAGTCCCATCCTAATTTCTATTTATATAAAATGCCTATTTTTTAGTTATCTTGTATACAAAGCATAATACAATATTTGTCTCATGACAGCTGAAGATAACCTTGAATCTTGTTGCCTTTGCCTGCCAAGTGCTGGGATTATAGGTGTGTACCATCTCTCCTGGCAAGCTGGTTTTGTTGTTGTTGTTTTACTTAGAATAATGATTTTTAAGGTTTATGCATGTTACATGGAATATATAAAAATTGCATGTCACTTCAAAGTTGGAAAACATTCTATTCCATATAGAAAGATAAGTGCTGCCACATCCTGTTCCTTCATTTGTGTGTTGATGGTCACACACAGCAGAGAACACACAGCTGTAACAGTACCTACTAGAATCCTCCTTTTCATCTCTTTTGTGTATACTGAAGGGTAGAACTACTGACATGCAGTGATTCTTTATTTGACTTTAGAGAACTGCACACTGTTTTCTATAGCAGCTACACCATTTTGCATTCTTATTAGCATTTCATGAAGGTTCCTGGTACCTCTTGCATTTTGATAGCCACATGAATCTTCTCACATAAACTTCCCTATTTAATTTTTCTGTGATTGATAATTGGATAGGTTTCTTCTTTTGATACTTCTGATATAAACTCTCTTGTGGCTTTTCTGTTTTTCTTTTTTTCCATGCCTGTGCATTTCACAGTGTGTGTTTGGAGATCAGAGGACAGCTTGTGGGACCTGGTTCTTTCCTTCCAGGATATGGACACAAAGGATTGATTTCAGGCTCTATTCACTGGTCCCTATTTATTTGTTTTATTTTTAAGAAAAGGGTATTATGTAGGCTGTTACGCTGTACTCCAAGCTGGCCTTGATCTCATGGCACTCTTCTTGTCTCAGTCTCCCAAGGGTGGGGATTATAGATGTGAACCACTAAATAGAGCCTATTTAGTGTTTATTATTAGATCTTTTTATGTTTTGATCTTATAGTAAGCACACTGATACATACATTGTGATCTGCTGTTGATGTATGGTTTCTTGACCATCCCCCACTCAGTATATATGTCCCTTAAACTTTAGTTTTTGACATAGTTCAGACTATCTTTTATCTGTTGGCTAATACCCTTGGACTCCTTATTTCCCATATTTTTGGCCTGTAAACTTGTAATATAGAGTCATTTCAATTTTTGCCTTTTGTACTGATATACAAGAACATTGATTATAATATATTTCTAATTAGTTAGTAATAACCATACAAGCTAATGGTATATACTAATAGCTGAGTCCTGATTAACTGGTTAGTCCATTCTTTATTTTTGATGGTTTCTCATTTACACACAATGTACTGTGATTATTATATTTATCCACTGTTATTCCTAGCTGTTTTTTTTTTCTCTTTCACACCTAGAATCACTGTCCGGGCATCTTCCTGTTCTGCACGCACTCTAAATCCCACCCCTTTCAAAGCCTAGCAGAAAGCAGAAAGGTGAAGTTTGCTTATGAAAGACTAGAGTGTGTCTATTGCAAAAGATAGAAATGAGAAGGCAAGTGGAAAATGTATCTTTAATGCAGTAACCTGTTTAGGAGATGTTATGTAACTCTCAGATTTAGTAAATTCTCAGAAGATTTCTTTAAAAACTGATTTCTTCCTTTTTACTTTCTGTATATGTGTGTGTGTCTGCACATATGTTCTTACACACTTGTGCTGGTGACCCTGGAGGTCAGAAGAGGATGTCATATTCATTGGAACTAAAATTATAGGCAGTTGTGAGTTGCTCAATGTGGGTATTGGAAACTAAACCAGGGTTTTTATTGACTAACTAAATTAAGCGATTCTAATGATAGCTACAACTAAGAATAGTACAAAAACCACACAAGCGCTATAATATCCATTGTGCTATTAGAACAAAACAAAACAAAAAAACAGGAGAGCAAGATGTTTTCCGTTACCATTGGTGTTTGGTTACCTGTATACTCTCCCACAACACTGGCTACAATTGGAAAAGCAAATTAAACACCCAAACACATGTGGCGGTAGTTTTCTATGGGTGCTGTAACAAAGAACTATAAACTAAGCAGTGATGGACACAAGAGACTGAAATCAGGTGTCAGGTGGGCTGTGACTCTTCCCAGGCAAACTTGGCTTTGCATTCTGGTGGCAGTCTTGCACAGCTTTCCTGCTGCTTGGCTGTCTTCTGGCTGTTCATCTTCACAATGTGTTTCCTCAGTGTCTACCTGACTCAGTGGACAAGTTTCGCCTTTCCTATAAAAATGCCTGCCATGGGGGATTAAAACTCACCCAAATGACCACATTTGGACTAGTTCCCCTCTATAGTGACCCAATTTCAAATAAGGTCACATTTAGAAGTTATGGACTTTTAGCCTCGTTTTGGGGGCTAAAAATAATCAACACTGAAGATGTCATCGACAATTCCCCAAAGCAGGGTTTCTTAGTGTTTTTGTTTGTTTATTTGTTTGTTTTTTGGTGGGAAGACGTTAGTATTTTCTTTTCTTGAAATGCCAGTGCAGGCAATAAACACGGTACTTAAGGCAGCTGTGCTGACAGTAATGCTTGGTGTTTTAGTCCCTAGCACTTGCAATTATCATCCACATAGCATCCATAATCATCATTAGTAAGAATGGTAGTTATTAGCATATGCACTGCTAGATTTGCTGCTATTTAATACATTAATAATGAAGCATATACTTATATCATGATATATTTTCATAATTGCAATTCAATAAACTTATTTTGATTTCATTATATTTTAGGCACTTAACAATGCTAGTTTTAAAAAAATCCCATTGAAGTTTAACCCATAGCCTCAATGGATTTTCACATTTCAGACTTAAGGTAGTTTAAGATTTACTGTTTAAGAACCAAGAACATCCATATATCAAACAATTTCTTTACCATTGCCCACCATGGAAATTTAACATTTTATATTTAACCCAAAATACATATCTCACACACCCCACAGAAACCTGAAACAGAAGTATTGCAAAACAATTATTAATCCTTATTATATAGCATTTATATAGTTTGAAGTTTTTATAACTATTCTAGAATAGGAATGAAATGGCCGGGTGGTGGTGGCTCACACCTTTAATCTCAGCACTTGGGAGGCAGAGGCAGGCAGATCTCTGTAAGTTCAAGGCCAGCCTCGGCTACAAGAAAGAGGTAAAGAGGTTGTTTCAGGACAGGTTCCAAAGCTACAGAAAAACCCTGACTCAAAAAAACAAAAAAGAATAGAAATGAAATGATTGTGTTACGTATTTAGTGATATTTCCATAAAAATTTCTCATGGCATATTGTTAACAGTGAAAGTTCATGTTATATACATGCATTACACACACACACACACGTGTGTCTATCATCTATCTATCTATCTATCTATCTATCTATCTACACACATGTATATAGCACATACATAATTTTAGAAGTGGCATTTAGATGAACAAATACCTCAACAATCCAGGCTTCACTTAGACAACTGACTATTTAATGAGTTATATGAATTTAATGGTATAAACTTAAATGTTAACCAAAAGTATGAATAAAAGGTAAAAAACAATATTCTAGGTAATTTAAATACTATAAAATGCTTTAAATCTTCAGAGTCTAATTTCATTGAGAAATTTCTTCAGCCACAATTACAATATCAGTATAGGGGTTTCTCAAGCAATATTACGTGAACTGAAGTATGAGATGTTTTACCTGTAGTAAACTCGTAAGGTCTGTATTTCTTCTTCCAGCCTTTTGTACTGCTCAACAGCAGTTTCTTTGGCTTGCTGCATCGATAGCAATTTTTCCTGCAAATATTAGTTTTGGCATGTTAAAACACAGGATAAAGGATGAATATGAGCTAAACCTTTTTGTTAGTTTAAAATCTAGCCACGTTTTAGCAGCCACAATTCTTCACACAAGAGTCCAAACATTAGTAATAGAAATACTAAAGGCAGAGCTTCTTAAGTGTATGAACTTTGCTAGTCCCTACCTTCAACCTTACTTCATCTGTAGTATCAGATATGCCCTTCTGCAATGTTTAACTTTATGCACAGAATTCAGAATGTGGAACACGGGTTCAGAAAAGTGTCTGAGTAGAGAGATAAGCACAATGGGCATTTCAGATACAGATTTAATGGGGCTCCACTGCCTGCTCTCACTAGATTTTCTTTTAACTTTATTAACAATAAAACTCAGGAAATCCTAAGTATGTTGTCAAGCCATCTTTGATACACAAAACTATGACCTGATTCTTACAGATATAAGTTAACACTTTCAATTCCTTTTCTGTAAGAGATTTTTTTTCCCTAAAAAGTAGATTGATGGCAACTTTCATTGCTAGAGATATTTTTCTTGAGGATATCATCTTAAAGCACAGGCAATTTCGTCTACAAAACTTTACACTGAGTTAATTTTAACCAATAAGGAATAATCAGCCTATATCTTAATGGGAACTGTGGCATTTTCATGTTTGTATATATTGTGTGATGTTTGGAACAAGGTAAACTTTTCTATTTCTTATAGACCCGTCAGTTTTTCATGGAATAAACTTTATTGTGTTTTCTCCTAGCTTTATGCACTGAATTGTTACCTTCATTTTTATTTTGGTAGTGCTCAACGTTGTAATTTTAAAATAATTTTCCAGGCTCCCACCATCATTTCCACAAGTTTTAAGAAATGTCAAAAAAGAGTTTAGCATTACTTTAAAACTATGGTACTAAGTAAGTCAAGTTTTAGTATTATTTTTGTCAAAGCTTAATTTGCATGAAAATACTGTCTTTCAGTTTAAATAGTATTTGACAATGAACATGTAATTGTTTCAAAACTTGAAAAACACAGTCATTAATTAAAAGTAATTTAAAGTCTGGAGTCTCTGCATTTTGTTGAATGCACATGATTTCAGTGGGATTAGTTTCTTGCATAAAAATGCAATAAATAAAAAAATAATAAAATCCCAATTATGAGAAAATTAATTAGAGTAATGAAAATGAACACTAGATAATGCAACTTTTCTACTTTAATAATGGAAAATTATAAAGGCATGCAGCAGACTGGATATTTGCATGTAAGTTTAGGCACAAGATATTAGTTTGTTTTCTATCTGGGCTAAAGAATTTAATAGACTTATTCTGTAATTAAATTTTAGAAGTTTGAATGATTGTTTTAATCTTCTGAATTCTGTAACTATAGATGAGATATCCCTGCAAACTAGGAAAAAAAAACATTCAAAATCAACTCTCATTTCCTGTTAAAATGTTTTTTTACTTTACTGTAGTTATATCCTTATCGACATGTTTTACCATTTGCATTTTTATATTTCTACTCATAGACTTATTTTAGGTAAAGTTTCATGAAGGTGAAACATATATATGACATCAAGTAAGTATACACACAGATTTTAACAATTAGGCTCATGGAGTTGTAATTTCCAGAAAGTTAAACCCATGATTTCAAACCTATTATCTGTAATGTTATGAGGTAGAGTAAGGAATCTAGGTCAGGTTTTTCTGGATAGGGCAGCTCAGGTCTTGAACTTGAGGCAATCTTCTCATCAGCTTTCAATGCTGCTAGTACAGGCATGAGCCACCACATCTGGTTGCTTCTGTAAATTCTGATCGATATATATAGTCATGTGATAAGCATCACACTCAGGATATATAGCATTCCCACTACCTCCATTGCACACCAACAGTCACTCGCCTCCTTTGGTGTGGGAGGTCCTTCTGTCTATGTGTTGCTTTCATTGGTTAATGAATAAAGAAACTGCCTTGGCTTGTTGATAGGGCAGAACTTATGTAGGCGGGAAAACTAAATAGCATGCTGGGAGAAAGGAGGCAGAGTTAAAAGAATCCACAAAGCCACAGAAGACAGACACTGGAAATTTTACCAGGTAAGCCACAGCCACGTGGCAATATACAGATTAATAGAAATGGGCTAAATTGATATAAGAGTTAACCAATAAGAAGTTAGTGCTAATGGGCCAAACAATGTTTTAATGAATACAATTTCTGTGTGGTTATTTCCGGGCTAAGCTAGCCAGGAGACTGGGATTAACAAGTGGGCCCTCCTCCTACACTCCTTTATACTTAGCCTGTCTATATCATTGCCTTCTTTAGATGATGTAAAAAAAAAATAGTCACTAATTCAAGCTTATTTTACTTAATATATCTGGATATTAATCTATATTATTGCATATTCTAGTAGTTCATTCCTGTGTAATCAGTGAACAATGCTACACTGTGAAGTCATTAATACAATTGTTATAAATATATGTATATATGTAATTTTCATTTTTCATTAGTAACTGCCTTGAATCAGAGTTTTTGGGTTCTATGGTGTGTATATTTACATATTTTATGAAGAATCACAAAATTTGGTGATTTTACTGAAAGATTCTTAAAGGTTTCATTTTGGAAGAATGTTACCTGTGGAATTCCTGTTATGGATTAAGATGGTGCTAAGTGCTTGGGAGATATTACTAGAGTCTATCCTTTCAAACATCCTATAGGATAATTCCTATTACATCCAGGTGAAACTATGAATCAAATCATCATTAGGTAACAGAATTGCTGACAACAAAATTAAGCATAATGTGTTTTCTGCATTCTGTGTGCTTTTATGATACTTGAAATAACAATAATAAAGACTGGTTGCCTAGTGCTAATGTATATACCTATTTTGAGTACTGTGGTTGAAATAGGGCAGCCATTGACTATATTAGAAAAGAAATACGCTGTTTTAGTAAGTCTTTTCTGGTAACTGAGAATGGCAGACAAAGGCAGGATTATTACCGCTCACAGAACAGAACAATATTTACTGTTCCTATTGTGAATAACAATCTTTATCTTACTTTAAAATCTTTTTATGTTTGGCTTCAATGTGTTTTTAATAGTTATGGTCTGAAATAGTTCAGCCTTCCTTTGGTATCACCAAGATCATTAAAGCAAGCCTCTTTTCATGACAGAGCAGAGGTAGTTAATTATCTTCACGCTATCTGTTAAATAAAGGAGCATGATGTACAAATTAAATTGAGTCAGGATGCAAATTTAGGATGCATCTTAGAGGTAACATAGTCCTCTGTTCTCATGACAAGGAAATTTTTGCTATTGCAAACATTTGGAACATGTCCAAGGTTTCACAGCTAATTAGAAAAAAAGCTGAAACTAGAATACAAATATTCATAAACCATTGTTTATTTTACATTATAAAACCACATTTTAATATGACACAATTTAAGAGTACGTTAATTTTTAAAATAATCATTTTTACAGAATAACCACAAATATATTAATCTCTGGTATAACATATCTAAAGACATCTTCTTGTTGGTTTTTAAAGATGGGTATAGAGGACTGTTTAAACAATGACTATAGTCATCTTGAATTTTAGTTCTCAAACTTGCAAGCAGATTAAGAATTTAGTAGATAACACGTAACTAAAACCCTGGCAAAAACAGCCTGAAAATTAAAAGTCATTATTGAAAGGATAGAAGTGAGATTTCGTTTACAGCTTCCTCTTAGAAACAGAATTTGTTTGCTTGCTACATTGTGTAACTGAGAGCATTTTTTTGTGGTTATACTTTAGCCTCATGTCATACCCTTTGATTTACCAAAATGGATAGATACAACTGAGTCCTTCATTCAAAGAGAGCATATGCACTGTTCAATAACCTATGAGGTCTGACATTAGAGGAAATAGGGGATTGTGGTGGAAACAGAAAGTATAATAGCAATAACTGAAGTTGATTCTTGAGGTGGAAGCACAAGTCACAGAAATGAGATAGAAAACTTAGAGTATACTAGAAGTGCAACCTGACAAGGTCTGTGGAACCAGGGACTTGGGAGGCATCCTTGCTTTCTCCTTGCCACCTGTCTCATCAGGCAACCTAGTACTTCATTTTTGTATTCACCTACAAAGTGGGCAAGTGAAGATCCATTCTCAAGGAGCTGATACTAGTAAAATATAATAAAACCAATGAAATACATAAAATAGCACTCAGCATATAGAAAATGCTTTAATGAGTTATTGTTGAATAAATAGTAGGGAAAAAAGCCAAATCACGGGCTGGAGAGATGGCTCAGTGGTTAAGAGCATTGCCTGCTCTTCCAAAGGTCCTGAGTTCAATTCCCGGTAACCACATGGTGGCTCACAACCATCTGTAATGAGATCTGGTGCCCTCTTCTGGCCTGCAGACATACACACAGACAGAATTTTGTATACATAATAAATAAATATTAAAAAAGTCTTGATTCTGAAAAAAAAAAGCCAAATCATCAACCTGGTGACTTAGGAATTGAGGATGTAGTAAATACCTACCAAACAGGAGAAGAAAATAAATTAAATTTTCAGTATCGTTCCATCTTATAAACTTAACATCTTTGACTCAGACCAAATGATGAGTCTCTGTGAAGCTGTTTGTGGGTTTTCTTATGATCTTAAGTATCTCTACCAAGAAAACCTTTATGCGGCAAGACACCATTTATTAACTATGTGCAATATATTAATAACTTAAAGAAAAAAAAGACAGCTTTGCTTTCTCAGGCACATGCTTCTCTATCTCCTTTCTTGGCTATACAGTTTCTGTGCAGGGCACAGGACTCAATATCATACATTTTATAAAAGGCCTAAAGTATAAGACGTTATTGAATTTGACATGGTACAAAACTGAATGATTTTCTGAAGGGATAAATGTTATGTCAATTATTTTGGAAGAGAGAAAAATAAGAGAAAATAATATTATTAACTGTGCGCATATTTTAGTAATGAAAAGGATATAGAAAGATATCCAGGTTTTCCAAATCATATT